AAACAAAAAAGGTATGCTATGTAGCTGACTTCTTGTAGGAAACCTTTTCCGCACACAAACAGAAAACCTCTAAATGCATCAGCATGTGGGTCATCTGGTTCTAGCAGCAGGCACGAGAATGTACAGCCAAAAACCAAGGAAGGAAAGTGTCTGGTTTTGTAATAGTAGCAGCACTGAAATAAATAAATGTCTTAATTCTGCTAAGAAATAACGAGTGATTAAAAACATGGTAATGTTCCATTCTCCAGTTCCTAATCCATACCACCAACTGTGGTGGTACAATTTTATGACTGTAATATTTCCCTTGACATTTTTATTGATAGTTTCCTTTTTGTTAAACATTGACCAAGCTAAAACAAATCAGCACATGAAACATGCAACCAGCAGCATAAAATACACAATGAAAATCAAAATCAGTGACTGGCTTTTCTTCAAAGCAAGGATTGGAGCAACTCCTTAATAACAACAGAAAGTCACCTGTAGGAAAACCTATTTCCAAATTTAAATGTAGGCAGTACCAGCAATTTACTGCTATTCTGGAGTGCCAGGTACTCTGAAAATACCACTTCAGAAGTTTTTATAATGGCAGATGGCCTTGTAAGTGCTCAGTGTGAGCCTGAAAAGGACTCTCAGTTGTTTCGTAACATTCTTTTCGTAATGCATCTTCATCTTCTTGTTCAGATAAGAGATATAAAATGGCAAAAGGGTTTACAATGAATAGCAGGAGGTTAACTTCAGGTTGAATTTATTTTATAGACCAGATATGTAAAACCCACCTGATTTTCATCAAGTATTCTATTTAAAGCCTAAATTACAGGATTCTTCTCTACAACACACTCCAGACAGTATAGACAAGAAACACTAAGGTAGGCTTGGAGGCCACACCAGCCAGACTGTCAGGCTTGGCTGGTTTTCCAGGTCAGTGGCAGTAAAAGCTTTCTTCCTCACTGTCAACAGCCTCTCCTTGACCACTTTGTCTTTTCACCCCTGTGCTCTACCTAGAGAGGATAACGTTCGTGTCTGTCTGCACATAAACACATATGAAACTAGGACGAAACAAGAGAATTCTAGAGGATGTAAAAGAATTAAAATCCAGCTATCTTTTGAAAAAAGGTCCTTCCTTCGCTGTGCTACTACAGCTCATGTCTTGTACTGCAGAGATTGAAGAGAGCCGGCTTCTGACCCGACCCAGTTAAATCTTATGCATGTGCTCATTGACTCTGTACAGAGATGGGATCACTTTCAAGTCAACAGCACTATTCATGCACACATTTAAGCTAATGGATAAGCTTTTGCTTGTATCAAAAGCCTTCAAAGCTGTCAAGTTTGATGGGGAAGCAATAAACAGGATTGTGGGAAGACAGTGATAAAAAGTGGAAGTCTGTGCTAAATGACTATCAAATGAAAAATTGGAAGTCCAACCACAGAGAATGGCAACTATGGATACACTATTGTGATACAATTGGATATAAAAAAGTAGTCCAACTAAAATGTTTAAAGGCTCTTAAAAACATTCTAATTTGTTTGGTTGGTGTTTTTTTACGACATGCGCAATAAATATAGAAAGAAAAGGAAGTGTTTAGAATGGATCTGTATGAGTAGCACTGCCAGTTGGAAGTAACAGCACTGTTCTGGAAGATCTTGGCTCAAGCCGAGAAGACATCCCACACAGCCCATTTTCACTTGGGGGGGAGGGCGGGGCGGGGGGGAGAGTAAATCACTGGTTTACCTCAGCTTTGTCAACTGTAAGCAGCCTGTACAGAACAGAACTGCCTGTGGCAATTCTGAAATGTTGCAGTTTATGATCATGCAGTATCACATCCAATTTGACTCAGCTTTTTATTATTTAATAAGATACACAGCTCCCTCTACACCTAGATCAAGAGAACAGCCAGCCTGAAAACCAGCATTTTATTGGCTCAAGAAACAGCATGGCCAGATTTGTGAGGCAATGTTCAAGAAGAGCCTTTTTCTAAACTGAAGATTTTCTAATGACTTTCCAATAGACACACTATAAATGCTGTGTAATTTTTTTATTTGATTATGGTGAACAAGAATAGGAATTTCAGGGAAAACAAAAGTATTCTGACGGACGAGAGATTAGACCCCATTCGTTTCACGGGCTACATTCCTTCCTGTTTCTACAACCCAAGGAGGAAATTAATTTATTGATACAAAACTCCTCCCAAAGCCAAAGGATTGTTTGTCTTGAGGCGGGACCGTGTTTTCACAGAGATGCTCAAAGTTACTACTGTGATCCATTTTTGTCAGACTTGTACAGATCTTCCTGCAGCTGAGTTTCCTTGTTGATGACCCCCGTCCTTGCCCTGCTACCTCTTCCTTTTCTCCCTTGCTTCCTTGATCCCCAGCCCAGGACCACTGCCCTTAATTTTTCTTGCCAGCGTTACCTGTGTCAGAGAAGAGCCCAGCAACTAAGCCTGTCTCAAACTCCAACATTTCAGAATGACTTAACATCCTCAGTCCTGGCAAGACAATGCAGAGAAATGCACCAGGTAGGATTACTATCTTGGGTGCTGCACTGCTCTTCACCGGCAACGCTTCTCAGCGTTTAAGGAATACAAGCAAGATGTCTAGGTAAAATGGACTGCAGAGCATCCAAGAGAGAATAATTAAAAGGAAAAAAAAAATAGCATGACACTTCTCACGGCACAATGAGAAATTACAAAAATTAAAAAAGGAACAACAATAAAAACATTAGAAGGAGGGAAGGCACTCAAATCAGCTGTTCAGGCAAAGAGAAGAGTTGAAAATAATGCCCGTATGTGGGAAAGGCAGTGATGTTTGCTTTCCACAGTATTAATTAACACAGCTTTAAAGCAAACAGAAAACACCGAGATTGTCAAGATGTGTGCTGGTTGCTCAGGTGCTGGATTGGGTTTTCATTAATACACACAAACACCCACAGACTGGTTTTACCAGGCAAACAATCTACGTAACCAAATTCTAAATTTGGACATTACAAGTCTCTAGACGTAAATTTGTTCAGTTTTACAATTTTCACACTTACTGAGGCTTTGAAAAGTAAGTGTAAATGCGGACGGGTATTTGGTTCGCAGAACATTCTCTGTCTCACAGAAGTTGTATGCGTAATACTAATGCACGCTATTTTAAGTCAAATGAATCAGTTATAGATACTGATGGGATTTTTATACATTCTGTACACTCTCAAAAATGTGACTTTTTTCCTACGTCACCTAGTATAGCTGGCTGCAGCAGCAGATCTTAAAAAACTATTAATTGCCTTCAACAATTATATATATATTTGATTGTCGAAGCTAATGGACTAGTGTGGCATTTAAGCACGGTGTACACCCTGTGCACATTCTTATCAACATAAATAGTTCCATCGTATCTAAACCAATGGTTTTTAATAAGCCCTTTTTCCACTGTAAGCCTGGAGAGTGATGGTCATGAACTTCTACAACTTGATGGAAGCGGAAGCAGATGAATTAAATGCCTTGTGGTATACAGAAGGTTTGACTACCAGATCCAAGATCGCCCTTGCCGTAAGTGTCATTTGCTGAGAAATGCCTGTTACATACAGCACCAAAATCTTGGTATTAAAAAGCTGATTATCCTGCAGCAAAAGCACATCTAACCAGAGACATCTTCAACTAGGGCTTATTAAAACCAAAGAGTAACCACTTTTCTGTACTTACCTTTAAATTTGGTTCAAAAAAACAAAAAAAAAAAAGTCTTTATTTCATGAAATTGCTTACTGCCTAAAAAAACCCCTGTGTATAAAACTTCAGTGGGCAATCTGACCGACTCCTTGGCTCGCCAGAGGTGCGCTGGCCCCTTCTGTTTGCAGCCCGTTATTTACTTATCGCAGTTCTTAAGATGTGAGCGTACTACTCTGTGATCGGGGGGGACAGCTGCCAGAGGCCACGGCGCCAGTCACTACTGCTCAGCTCGGCCTGACTCAAGCCGCGGCACCTTAACCGCGAGGACGTTAAAATAGAAGTCACGGGTGGCTCGTCAAGGCTTATCCTCCAGGACAGGCGGGGTCGCTTTAGGAGCCGGCACCTCTCACCTACAGCGCCGTTACTTGGCGTTGCAAAGCCAAGCCGCGCGTTGGTTAGCGGGAACGCACAGCCCCGCCGGGGATTCACGCCAAGCAGTCGTCCCGGCCCTCTCCAAACTCACGCGGCGTCACGCGACGCGACGTGACGTGACGCC